CGTTTCGATTCAATTTTGCTGTTTCAAGCTCAAAATGAGTCGAAACAGTGTTGAATTGAAACAGTACCCCTGATGCTGAAGCCTCTAAGTTGGACCGCCCTGGTAGCAGTCCAGCCTGACCCCAGAAACTCTGCTGACTTTCACAGACAAAGCATGAGCCTCCCCGTAACCCACCCCCATGTGCACTGAGTTCAGAACTGCAGGTGGCAAGCCCAAGAGGTCTGCCAGCAGCAGTCCCATAATTCCCAACTCTAGACCCCCGGCCCGTCTAGACGCCACTTTCCATCTCTATTGCCCATCGTTAACACTATGCCCAAAAGGAGGGACAAGTAGTGGGCAGACTGCTTCCTACAGAAGCAACAAGAAGCACAAGGTGCAGCAGTCACAGGGGTGGATATGGCTGGGGACAACCCTCAGGACCAGCCATACAGATCACATACCAAAGAGGGCCTCAGGTAGCCCCTAAGCTGCCTCTGTCCAATTGAAGAGACCCCCGCCCAGGGGCCAGCACCATTTTATGTAGCAGCTGCCATACCCAGATGTAATCAGAGGCCATCAGGACATAAGTGACAAGGACACTGCACTTCTTCCACTCCCAGGTGTCACAGCTAGCAGGACCACAGCATGTGCCTCTTAGGGAAAGGGCTGCGGCGTGCGGATGGGTGCACGGGTCCATGAGTGCATTTATTGTAACGGGAGTGTGAGCTTTAAATGTGGTGTAAGGTGTGTGAAGACCAGCTTTTGCTCGAAGATGTATATGTATATAACTATATAGAGACAAAGAAATATATTTTTTCCAAAAAAACCGTGCATCTTCTATCAGAGCCATGTTCTACCTTCCGATGCTTGTTATCAATGTAATTCAGCAACCTGGGGTTAAACATGGCTGGAGCAGGATAAATGGTGTTTTTCCTTAACACACCCTAGCATCCTTTACAACCTCCAGCATAGCTCCCACTCACGGTACTCTATATATTAGGTGATGGAGGGGGACCAGTTCATACAGCTCAAGGTATAGAAGATAATTAACACTACTTCAAATTTTCACGTCCAGAGCGCTCACAAGCCGCTGACAAGCCTTCACCACTAGGCCTGTGCAAAGTGGCAAATCACTACCCTCTGGGATGGAGGAAAGGATTTCCCTATGTTACCAATAAGGGAGTTGATTAGGGTGGCCATCATAGAGGACATTCTGGTTTTCTGCTACTATTGATACATAACCCGATGTCTTTATGTGCTCTATTTTTCTCTTCTCTTGAAGAGAAAAATAGAGGACATAAAGACATCGGGTTTTGTATCAATAGAGGACCGAGGACAACTGGACTGTCCTCTATGATGCCCACCCTAGAATTGATGCATGGGGTTACCTTTGTCATTGCCCTGCTGCTGAGGCTCTTATTTTACTTCAGTGCCAAACACTCCCATTCTGACCTGGTAGCACGTTAACTGCTTTGCATTGAGTGACAAAGGACAGTGAGCGGGCCCAGGGAGGCCTCTTTTCTGTGCGGATCCCTGTGAATCTCAGGCTCAAGGTCACTTGGGCAAAACCTCACAGGGAGTGAGTGTGAAAGCTGGGATGAGTGAGAACCAATTCCTCGCCTACTCCAGTTAGGTTCTCCCACCATCACGGGGTAGGCGAGTATTGCACCTCCCTGTCATGTGGGTGATGCTCAGCCTGGAACCATGGGAATATATTTTAGCCCTGGGTTTTAGGCGTTGCCACCCTTTTGTCATTCTCATCAGCCAGCTGTTATTTCCCCTGAACTGATCCGTGGGTGGCAGCCTACACCCCCTCCCTGATTAACTCGGCGTTTCCATCTAGCCTGATGCATCCTGGAGAGAACGAAACCTAGTTCCTCATGTAGCTTGGCAGGTCTTGCACAGTGCAAGTGCTCTGACATGTTCAATCTCTCTATCGCCCTTGTCTCATCCAACAGGTAGGGTGAGTTACTAAGTAACCTCCCTCCGCCCCTCCACATCCTTGGTGGAACATCAATGACTTGCCCCTGAATCACCAAGGATGTCAGCCTTGCAAGTGCTGTGCCCAGGGGCGCTGGATGCTGCTGTTTAATAATAGAAGAAGCAAGGGAAAGGATTGGCTCTTTGGTCCTCCCCCCTTCCCCTTCCCCCTCCCTCTTGTTTTGACTCCAGGATGGCTGGGATGGGAAGTACAGTCCCTGCGGCCCCAGGATGGAGGAAATCAACAGCAAAGCACCGAGGAGTCTGTTTTGTAAGCAAGGGGCCTTGGGGCAGGACTCTCACATGTCCCTGGCTTGGAGAAAAGTCACTCATTCCAGCTCCTGAGTTACCCCCCACCTGCAGTGGAGCTCATGGGCACAGAGGTGAAAGAAACCTGGCTCGGAGCTTATAGCGTCCGTGACCCCGACATGCCAACCGCCCCAGTGGTGCCACATCTGAGCATCACCCAGTCTTTCATGGGCCCAGATCCTCACAGGTATGTAGGCCACTAAGGAGGAGCAAGGTGTCTACATACCAGCGAGGATCTGGGCTGAATGACTCACTCGAGGTCACACGAGAGGCCTGTAGCAGAGCATGGTATTTGATCTCCAAGGCCCAGGGTACTTCCCTCTCAGGAAGGAGTCCCACGGCAGGGGAGAAGCCATGATCATGGTTTTTGGCCCAGGTGGTTTTACTGACCCGACAGGGGAGATCCCCTTCTTCTCAGCCTTGAATGACCTGGTGTAGTGGAGGGTGGAGACCTGCCCATTGCACTGCAGACAGGCTGACCCCTGGAAGAGTCTACAAATGCTATCCAATGGGAGGAGCTCAGCTACACAATTTATGGTGATGGGGGATTGTTCTCAGGCTTTCCATCTAGCTTGCTCCTTCGGCCTTTTGGCTAGGGGCAAGTGAGACTAGGGGGCAGAATCAACTCCAAGGCCTCATGCTCTCGGGGCTTGTACTTCAGATGCCTGCCATGGATTTGGGAGTCCCAGGCTGAAGAGTCTGGAAAGGAGGATGCTTGCTGGTGGTAGCGCCACGCAGACTTGAACAACTGACCTCTACTAAATCGATACAATTTGGAACTGATTTGACCCAAGACGCAAAATTTCAAAAAATAAAAAGCAAGTAGTCCCATGTTGTCCTGGTACCTCCTGGGTGAGTAATGTGTGTGTGACCCTTCTTCTGGCTCTTTGTCTTTCTTTGCATCCAAGGCTTGGCATTAGCAGATGTTAAGGTGTCATCAGCTGGGAGCAGGCAGCTCTCCTGTGCGGATCAGCCACCCAGCGGTGCTTGGGGCAGGGAACAGGACTTTGTTCTGCCTTTGTGCATCACTTTGCACTGTGGGGTCCTGGGCCAGGCCTGGGGCCCTTGGGCACTGTGGCTACACAGAGAGTACCAAGAGCGATCATTTGACCAGTGCATTTACACACGCCCTGTTGGCCTGGCATCTGGCACCATTTGCGAGCTGCATTTTTCCCACCTGCTAGCACGGCTATTATTCTTCTTGACTCCTTGGAGGAAGCAGCATGGAAATCAAAGGTATCCAAACTTCAGCCCTGATCCTGCTGTCATTGGGAACTCTCCCAGGAACTATCTCCTTTGTTAATTCCCGCTGCCTGCCTGTTAACCTCATTTACAAACAATGGGCAGCTTAGTCATAGCACTGAGCCCTTCTCCAGGGCTGTTCATCTGTACAGCTCCGGCCACTTCCCGATGCTGATTTGACCGATATGGCATATGTGAATTGCCCAAGGCCACATGATCCAGCACTGGGAAAGTCTTCCATAGGCCCTCCCTGTCCTATGAAAGACTGTCCATTGCCCAAGAGCCCTAGGCCTGGACCAGGAGCCCACAGTGCAAGGTGATGCAACTCCCCCCTGATTAAAGGGGAAAATCACACTGGATATAAAGGGCTCCACTGGATGAGAAAGGACCAGGCCATGCAAAAGAGCTCTTCACTGGGAAGTGCCAAAGCAGCCAAGTGTTTGTGGGTGGGGAGATTCAGCTCTCCATCTCTGCCTGGGGGTTGCCCAGGGCTTCATGCCGCTCTGCCCAGCACCCATTGAAGGCCAGTGGAGGGCCTGGGACAGACAGGGATTTGCGTTCCCTACATAGGTGACAGGTACCCCTTGACTCTGGGGGGGCACCCACAGAAGCCACCGCAAGCAGGGATGGGTTGGCGGTGTCAGCAGTGGGGATGGCCATGTCGGGGGGGAGGGGGGGGCACATGCCCCTCTGTGCCCCTCCCTACCTTGCACCTATGCTTCCCTGCACCACCTCATTACAATGCACCTGTCTAGCAAAGGTCTGGCCTGGAGCCTGCGAGTCCTCACTTTTGTTCCCAGCATTGCTACTGACCTGCTGTGCGGCCTGAGGGGAGAGACCGTTTCCCCTGCAGCTCTGTTTTCCCTGCCCTGGGCCTGTCCTGCCTTTTGACACACTCAGCTCTACGGGGTCAGGGACTAGCTCTCATAGGAGCCCCCCTGCAATGGGGAGACATCTTTGTGGGGCCTCAGGACGCTGTCGTAACACAAACACGCCAGGACTCGGAAGCTAAGGAAACAGGGCTGGGTGGCATGCCAAGGACAGACTTCCTTCTGCTTCTCACCTTCCCCAGACTTATTGCTAATGGCCTGGGTGCTGCCTCTCATTCCAGCGTGGGAATGAATCATCCTCTCTTTTGTGTGCTCTCTATAATTTTCCCCCTGTTCTTACTCTGCCCAGAAACAAGAGCAGCAAAGGAAGAGCAATACATTCCCAGCTGGCCTGCCTCCCTCGCTCCCAGCCCCGCACCCCTATTCCAGATGGGTCAGGTTGATGGCAAGGCTTCCCAGTCCCCACCCAGAGGTGGCTGCACCAGAATCCCAGAGCAGGCAACCCCCAGGAGCTGGGACTGAAGCCATCTGTTCATTTGGTCCCCCTCACACAGAAACCCTTATCCGCCTCGCATACACAGGTTCCCACGCACAGGTAAGCCCTACAGCGGGCCAGAACACCTTCCCAAGAACATGAGGACTGGATGTGTCGGTACTTGCCTTGCCTGGAATATATTGCAGTATTTTGTCTGTGGTGATCTCTCTCTCCTGCCCTGATTCAATGCCAAAGAAGCTGCTCAGTTTTTTCTTGCTGTCTTGTCTACAAAGAAATAAAACACTGAGATCAAAGCTAGCAGGGAGCAAATTCCTCACAAATCAGGGAGAAAGGGAGAGTTGGCCATCCTGCATCCCTCCCCAGTAAAGGTCTATAATCAGCTTGCAAGAATGTTAATTGCTTCTCTGCAGCACTTGTTGGCTTTTCTTTGTGTTGTTTACTTACCTTTGCATAACTAAATGCTCAAGAGTTTATCTCCAGCACTGTGCAGATAACAGAGGGGGCAGCTTGCAGATAGATCCAGTGGGGATGGCCTTCCAACAGCCTTCAAGGTGGGGAGGGATGGATCAGATCCTCCCAGGGCTCACCCCACACCCGTACCCACCCACTTTTCTTTTCCTCTTTGTGCCTGCCCTATCTCATCCTTCAAAACTAGAGCAGAGCTCCATCCTGCCTGCTTGGTACCTGCATCACAAGCACACCTGTGAACATGCATGGTGGCAATGATCTAACATGCATCTCGAGCAGGGACTCATGGGCTGTTTTAGCTCTCCTAGCCAAATGGCAGCATGAATGCTCTCAGGACCAAACTGTCACCTGCAAGGGGCTGGAGTGGAGATCCCATAGTGAAGGCAACATAACCCAGGGATGTCAGGGGAAGGGGAAGGTACTTGACACCTGACATGGTTCAACCTTTTCACTGTAAGCTTGCGGCCAGCTCTGGTGGGTCTAAATTCTCCTCTCATTTATATCTGTGTTAGCCCAAAGCAACTCACCTGAATGCTGTTACCTGCTCTACACTGGTATGAAGGAGAGGGAAAGCAGGCCGGAGCAGACCAACAGGGGTTGGGGATAGCATCCCAGAGCGGGGGTGATTCATGCCACTGCTCTCACAGCATTGCCATTTGCATCTTCAGACAGTGATGGGGAAAGAAATTGCAGCACTTGACAAAGCTAACGCCCCGGCTGCAGCCCAGAGCTCACATTTGGGGCAGAGCCCTTTGCAGATTCCACTTCTCGAGCAAGCAGCAGCACAGACAATGCCAGGGGGACTGAACGAGCTGGCACGATTGCAGAGGTGGGCAATATTTGGTAAGCGCAGGCTGCAGACTCAGATTGGCACTGCCCTCATTTGGGTTTTATGCTGTTGCCCATCACCCTCATGTCAGGGCACCTTGCAGGGAAATCAGCAGCACAAGTCCCTCAAGGGGATGCATCTGGAATGGTTTCCCTTTAGGGGTTAAACAAAAAAGCACAGCATGAATCCAGTAATTCAAGCTGCCTGGATTTGGAGCGTTCCCCTCTAAACCAGCTCTGATGCTGGTGCCTGCAGTCACTGACATTCTTATCCGCTGATGAATCGGTGCTGGAGGTTTTAGGAAGCGACAAATAAAAAAATCTCGGGGAAAAGGAAGGGCAGCTGTTTCACTGTCCCCCATGAGTGCCATGGAGAAGTTTTCATTTCTAAAATACAATAGTATAAATCACTGTTGCATAGGGGAGGCAACAATATGCAGCCGCTCACCCTCCAGAGCTCCAGAAGTCCCACTCTGGCCTTTGCCCTACCTTGATCTTGTTCACAGCTATCCAGCCTCATGCAAAACCATGCAGAATTCATATTTGCTAAGCCCAAAAGCAGCCCCTGGGTGTCCTGAGACAGGCTGGGTTACTAGCCCAGTCTCTGCTGGTGTACTGCAAAGGGGGAAAGCAGCAGCAAAGCTTTAAACCCAGTCCTAAGTA